AATGTAACACTAAGCTGTTATATGTCTAAAGTTTGAGGCTATAATTCTCCACAGCTTTCTTTCCTTCCCTTTTTTTTTTTTTTTTTTTTTTAAGAAATGGGGTCTGGCTCTCTCACCCAGGCTGGAGTGTAGTGGCATGAACACGGCTCACTGCAAACTCGACCTCCTGGGCACAAGCGATTCTCCTGCCTCAGTCTCCTTAATAGCAGGGACTACAGACATGCACCATCACACTCAGCTTTTTAAAAAAAATTTTGTTTTATTTATTTTTTTTGAGACAGAGTCTTGCTGTCACCCAGGCTGGAGTGAAGTGGTGCGACCTCAGCTCACCGCAACCTCCGCCTCCCAGGTTCAAGTGATTCTCCTGCCTCAGCCTCCTGAGTAGCTGGGACTACAGGCATCCGCCATCACGCCCGGCTAATTTTTGTATTTTTAGTAGAGACGGGGTTTCATCATATTGGCTAGGCTGGTCTCAAACTCCTGACCTTATGACCCACCTGCCTCGGCCTCCCAAAGTGCTGGGATTATAGGCGTGAGCCACCGCACCCAGCCCTTTCATTTTATTTTCTATATTGATGGTGTCTCACTATGTTGCCTAGGCTGGTCTCAAACTCCCGGGCTCAAGCAATCCTCCCACCTCAGCCTCCCAAAGTGTTGGGATTACAGACATGAGCCACCAAGTCTGGCCTCTTTGCAATTTTTAATGTGGAAAAAAAATACACGTTGCTTTCTTTAAAAATATTTGTAAAACAATTAAGATTAACTTTGTCACAAGATACTATAAATGGCTTACTTGTAAAAAGACCTGTGGAAAATCATTGAGGACTGACTCAAGTAATTCGAGGCCAAACGTCCGAGTCATTTCTGTCATGCCCACTAGCCAATAAGGAGCATCAGCATTAACCAACTGACAAAGGTCCTGGGAAAATAAATCCAACAATTTCACATGCTAGAATTAAATGTGCTTTTCAAAACTCACAGTTCATAAATCTTAAAAAAAAAAAAAAAAAAAACCACCTTCTTATGTAATACATGTTTTTGCTCCTTAGAAA